AGGCAAAAATAAATAAATAAATAAAATCCAGATGAGATAAAACTTCAATAATCTAAAGTTTAAAGATAAATACAGAATCTAAAGATTATGATTTCCTCTCCTCTGATCCTGCAGGTGTCTGACTGCAGCTCCAAAGCGTTTTTTTAATATTTTGAGGGTTTTTACCGTTCCGAGTCAAACAGGTTCGTCTTGTGGTTTTTAAACTATGAGGCAACAGCCTGAAGCTGTAATTTTACTGCTCTGTTCAGTAAACAGATGTGTGGGAATGTTTCAGACAGCTTAAACTTTATAAGTGAATCCCTGAAATGCTGAGTTTATTAGCAGTTTTTAATTTAATACTTTGATTAGAGCTGCTGTTTTGTTTTAAGCATGAATCTCACTTTTGACTTCACTGTCACTGAATGGTCTTTCTTTTTTATTTTATGTATGATTTGTTCCCACTGCTTAGCGATTTTTTATTTTTTATTTTTTTTTACCATAATGAAGATAGTTTGGGACAGTTAACATTACACGGTTTGGTTATGGTCCAACTGTGGATTCCCAACTAAAGGATTAATCAAAAAGTAAATGGAACCAACTTTGTTTCTATCCATGACACTGAGAAAATGATTAAGTCTTCACAATCAACGATTCTGATAACTGAAAGCTCTGCTTCCATTTTCCAAACGAGGAGTAAACCTGCAGTCTGAAACCAAAGTCCTCTGTTAGGAAAACAGGTAGTTTTTATGGTCCAGCTGTGGTTTCTATGGTCCAACTGTGGTTTCTATGGTCCAGCTGTAGTTTCTATGGTCCAGCTGTAGTTTCTATGGTCCAGCTGTAGTTTCCATGGTCCAGCTGTAGTTTCCATGGTCCAGCTGTAGTTTCAACCCATTCTCACTCCCAACTCGTCACATATTGACGTTTTGCAAGGTTCCCTCTACGTCCGATTTTGACGCGCGGGGTACCCCCCTCACGTCAGTTACTGACGAGATGGGGCGGAAGCTGTTGTCATATGTTCAGAAAGTGTATAAAATGCGCAAAAACGACCGTTCCAAACCCTGAAATTACCTTAGTTCACTTTAGACATCCTGTCCCTGACCCTAGTAGGTAAAATTAACCATTTTTAGAAAATGTACGAAATTCAGG